GGAGGGGAGTGATTAACTTTTCAGTCTAGGAGCGGAGGTCCCTAGGACCATCAAGGGAGAAGAGCGGAGAGCAGGATCCTACCCAGAGAAGCAGTGATGCCTGAAATGGAGGCAGAGATGATGACGTGGAGCAATGGAACAGCTGGATACTTTAGATCCAGAGAGGGAGAGCAACTGTGTACTGAAGACCTGAGGAGTAGGGGTGGGTGGGGGGAGGGCAGGATTGCAGGATATACCCTTTGGTTGGTTGATGATGCATGGAGGGGATTGTAACCATGGCAATGAGACGATGAATGATAGAATGCATGTAAAATTAATGTTCTCCCATGTAAACTATCACATAATTCACAGTAAAACATTTAAGAAAAAAAAATATATATATATAATCATTAGGCTACCAAAACATTCATTCTTAAGTCTCAAAACTATTAGAAAAATCTTCACACATTTAAAAGAACAATTGTCATGCTGTAGGATAAGCACTGGACTGTGAACCACAAGATCAATGGTTCAAACTCACCAGCCACTTGTCAGAAACCCTCTGCCGGGTAATACGAGTCGGCACCAACTCGACAGTACTTAACAACGTTTATTGGATCTAGTGAACTTTCTCACCTAAAAGATAATGATAAATTGTCTCTTTCTCTTTTTCCCTCCTTTTTAGGCCACAGGAGAATGCACAGCAACAGTGAAGAAAGGGAATAAAAAATTCATCCTTGCTACTCAGTCCTGCCAGATTACTCCAGGTAGCCAAGATCTGTGGTAGAAATACAGCCATGGGGGAACATTAACCATTTCTGGTTTTGTTCTTTTTGGACTCCTAGTGTGGCACTATAGAATCAGCACTGGACCTCGAACCACAAGGTTGGCAGTTCAAACCCACAGGCTGCTCCTTGGAAATCCTGTATAGGGTTGCTATAAGTCAGAACTAACTTGACAGCACCTAACAACAAAGAACAACCTAGGCCAGGTCCCGCCCCCTACTGGTGGACAGAAGCAGCAATGGCAGTTGCAGCATTTGAGGGATGGGGATGGGGAGTTGCTGTGAGTCGGAACTGACTCAATAGCACTTAACAACAACAAAAAAAACAGCAAGTAGAATGTGTTAGTAATCCAGAGGTTGTTGTTGTTATCAGGTGCCATCGAGTCGGAACCGACTCATAGCGACCCCATGCACAGCAGAACGAAACAATGTCTGATCCTGGGCCAACCTCACTACCGCCGCCACATTTGACGCCATCAATGATGTCACCTGGCTGATCCATCTCGTTGGGGGTCTTCCTCTTTTTCTCTGACCCTCCACCTTACCCAGCATGACATCCTTCTCCAGCGACTGTCCTCTCCGGACAATGTGTCCAAAGTATGAGAGAAGAAGCCTAGCCATCTTGGCCTCCAAGGAGCACTCTGGTTGCACTTCTTCCAAAACAGATTTATTGGTTCTTTTGGCAGTCCATGGCACTTTCAGTATTCTCCTCCAACAGAGGTACAATAATAGAAATACCCAAGTGGGTGATTTTAAGAAAGAAATTTATATTCTTACAATTTAGGAGGCTAGGGGTGTGAAATCAGAGCACCAGCTCTAGGGAGTCTCCCTTTCTGTCAGCTCTGGGGAAAGTCCTTGTTCCTTGGTGATCTCCTTGTGGAACCACATCTATCTCTTCCCAGCTGCACTTTTTAGTTGCTTGCTCTTTACAAACAGATTCATGCAGATTGTTGTTGTTGTTATTAAGTACCATGGAATCGGTTCTAATTCATAGTGACCCTGCACAGGATTTTTGAGGCTGTAAATCTTTATGGGAGCAGAAAGCCTCATCTTTCTCCAGTGGAACAGCTGGTAGTTTCAAACAGCTGATTTGTAACCACTACTTATAATACTGTTGTTGTTGTTGTTAAGTGCCGTCGAGTCGGTTCCGACCCATAGCGACCCTGTACAGGGTTTCCGAGGGTGTAAATCCTTACGGGAGTAGAAAGCCTCATCTTTCTCCCGCGGAGCGGCTGGTAGTTTTGAACCACTGACCTTAAGGTTCGCAGCCCGATTTGTAACCACTACGCTACCAGAGCTAGAGCTCCTTTAATGCAGATTAGCTTTTTTATATCTCAAAAGAGATTGATTTAAGACATACCCAATACACACAAGGTCAACAGTTCAAACCCACCAGCTGCTCCTTGGAAACCCTATACAGGGCTGATATGAGTTGAACCCACTCAATGGCATTTAACAACAACAATATATTAACCTAACAAAGAAAACTCATTCTTAAATGGGATTATAGCTACAGGTATAGTTGGATTTGCAAAACATATGACCATGTATTTTTGGAGACAAGATTCATCACATGCATTTTCCTGACGAGGGGCCCAATAAATTTTATTAGATTCCATGACACTTGGAATACAGGTTAGGTTCAGGCTGAAAAAAACAGCATCCTTGGTACCTACTGTAATTCAGTTCAACTGCCCCTCCCTGCAGCATACTCATGTTCTAGTAATATGTGATTGTGTCCTATGCATGCCCTTGTATGCACACATCCCATGTCTCTTCACCTCAAGTCCTCCTGCTTTCTCGGGAGCCTTGGAAGACAAGCTTGGCAATCTGCTTCCTAAAAGTCACACCCTTGAAACCGTCTTGGAGCACGTCTACTCTGCACACAGGAGGTTGCTATGAGTTAGAAGCAACTAGATGGCTACTAAAAACAAACAGTGAATGATAATGTTAGTTCACCTCTGAGGTGTCTGTGGGTGGTGCAAATGGTTAAGAGCTTAGCTACTAACCAAAAGGCTAGCCATTCAAACCCACCAGAGGCACCTCAGAATAAAGGCCTGATGATCTGCTTTCCAAAGATCACAGCCTTGAAAACCCAATGGAGCACAGTTTTACTCTGTTCATGTAGGGTGGCCATGAGCAACATGGAATCAACAGCAACTGCTTTGCTGTTTCTTTTGCTTTTTAAACCCTCTGACTGGGAAGCAGTTGTGCATTCTCTTTTTTCCTAATTACATGGTAGGATTTACTGGAAAGCCTATTTATCAAGAACTTCTAAAGTGCCTTGTTTGTAAAAGGCAATATATCTGCATGCTGGGAAATAAAGATTGGTTTGAGTTTTTAATTTGTTCTTTTTGCCAACTCTTTGTTAAGCGGAAGGCCCTGTGGTGACAGCCAAGTACAACTGCCTGGGCTGTTTCTACCCAATATCAACCAAGAACCCTCTGCTGGAACCTATTCTGAAACACACCATTCAGCACTTTAATAACAATACTGCGCACGCCTACCTCTTTACCCTTCAGGAAGTAAAGTCGGCTCAAAAACAGGTTTGTTCCTTGATCTTTCATTCATGCATTGTAGTTAAAACTTGTTTAATCTTGATGTTTAGGGCCTCGCTAACTACAATAACTAATCTACAGAAGGAAAATATATTATTTCATTACTGGTGTTAAGGTCTTCTGTGTTTTGGTTTTTATAGCTAGCACAGAAGACAAAGGACTTTCTATTTACTCAATGTGATTACTCAATGTAAAGGAAAAAATGGTTAATCTTTCCAATATTTGCTTTGATATTTGTACAGCATGAATGAGTCATAAGCATTAAGTGTTTTTCCTAGAAACAAGCAAACAAAAAAATCATTGACTCTAAAATATTCAGAAAACTGTGTCATCATTTATCATGAGTTAAACAGGACTCCAAAATGTTTAAATGTATCTAACAAGGTTGGCAGGGCTTCCTGGGTACCCTTTAATTTATAATTTCAATGAGTCCTGGTATGGCACTATAGGACAAGCTCTGGACTGCTTACCACAGGTTGACACAGTTCAAGCCCACCAATTGTTTTTCAGAAACCCTATACAGTGTTGCTAAGAGCAGAAATGACTCGGTGGTACTTAAAACAAAAACAGTATGTAATCAAACCATCACTCATCTGTCAGCTTGTTGTATGTAGTGGCTTTGTGTTGCTGTGATGTTGGAAGGTATCTGTTATCAGTATTTCAGGTATCAGCAGGGTTACTGTCATGAACTGAATTGTGCCCAATGAAAATACATGTTATCATGAGTGGGCCATGATTATCAGTGGTTTTCCATTTATGTGATGATATAATCATCTCCCATGATGTGATCTGATGTGCTCAACCAATCAGTTGTAAGGGATCAGGGTGGGATACAACACATGAACTTAGGTCATAACCCTGGTCCAATATAAAGGGAGTTTCCCTGGGGTGTGGTCTAACTCAAAATGAGAAGAAACAGCTACAAATATCCATTAATAATCAGAAGGTAGAATGTGCAAAACATTAATCTAGGAAAACTGGAAATCATCAAAATTGAAATGGAATGCATACATATTGATGTCCTAGGTATCAGTGGGCTGAACTGGACTGCCATTGGCCATTCTAAATCAGATATCCTGGGAATGACAAATTAAAGAGGAATGGCATTGCATTCACTGTCAAAAAGAACATGTCATGATCTGTCCTGAAGTCCAATGCTGTCTGTGAAGGACAATGAAGACCAGTTAATATGACTATGACTCAAATTTATGTACCAACCACTAATGCCAAAGACGTAGAAATTGAAGTTTTCTCCAACTTCTAAAGTCTGAAATTCATTAAGCTTGCAATCAAGATACATTGATAATGGCAATTATAATGTGACTGTATGATAAGCATTGGACTGTCAACCACGATGTGCTTCATATGATAATTTTGGACTTGCAACCACAAGGTCAGTGGTTAGAGCCCACAGCTGCTCCTCAGGAGAAAGATGAGACTTTGTGCTCTCACAAAAGATACAGCCACAGAAATGCTATACAGGGTCGCTATTAGTCGGAACTGACTTGGCCGCACCTAACAACAATGGCATAATGTGAAAGTTGGAAACAAAAAAGGATCAATAGTTGAAAAATATGGCCTTGGTAATAGGAATGATGCCAGGGATCACACGATAGAATTTTGAAAGACCAACTAGTTATTCATTGCAAATACCGTTTTCAACAATAGAAAGAGTGAATATACATGTGGACCTCATAGGATGAGATACATCACCTACATCTGTATGCTGATCTTCTGAGCTGGACTATATAATTCAAGAAACTGGATTCTATGTAGAATAACATGGCATCAGAATTGGAGGAAGGCTCATTAACAACCTATGATATGCAGATGGCATAACCTGGCTAGCTGGAAGTGAAAAGAACTTGAAGCACTTAACTGATGAAGATCAAAGACTACAGCCTTCAGTATAGATTACATCTCAATGTAAACAAAACAAAAGTCTTAACAATTGGACCAATAAATCACATCATGATAAGCAGAAAAAATTGAAGTTGTCAAGGATTTCATTTTACTTGAATTCATAATGCAAGCAACAATCAAGAAATCAAAGGATGCCTTGCATTGGATAAATCTAATGCAAGTGACCTCTTTAAAATATTACAGAGCAAGGATGTCACCTTGAGGACTAACTTGTGACTGACAAAGCAATGGTATTTTCAATCACCTCATGTGAAAGCTGGACAGTGGATAAGGAAGGCCAGAGAAGAACTGATGCCTTTGAATTGCGGTGTTGGTGAAGAATATTGACTATACTGTGGACTGCCTGAAGAATGAGCACATTTGTGTTCAATACAGCCAGATTCCTCCTTACAAGCAAGGAGGGTGAAACTTCATCTCATGTACTTTAGACTTGTTATCAGGAGAGACCAGTCTCTTGAGAAGAACATCATGCTTAGTAAAGTAGAGACAGGGACAGAGATAAAGAAGATCCACAACAAGAAGGACTGACACAATGGCTACAACAATTGGCACAAACATGTCAATGGTTGTGTGGATGGCACACGAGTGGGCAGTGTTTCCTTCTGTTTTATATAGAGTTGCTGTGAATCAGAAACAACCCAATGGCACCTAACAATAACAGCAATGTCATCAAACAAGGAGGTCCTTGGTCATCCAAATGATTAAATGCCAAGTGGAAGGTTGGCAGTTCAAACTCATCCAGAAGTGCCTTAGAGGGCAGGTCTGACAATCTGCTTCTGAAAGATCACAGTCTTGAAAGCTTCCTGGAGTGCAATTCCATTCTGCACTCATAGGGCCGCCATCAGACAACAATGTAAATACCTTTAAGTCTAGTCCTTTCATTGGCTCAGTTTACCAAGTCCTTACTAATGGTTGACTGGGCCCATTATATTTTATATTTATATATTTTATATTTTAGCCTTTAATTTTATGTGATTCACTTTGATTAGTAACTTTCCCTGCATTTAATAGACCTTCTGATTTACTTTTCTTCATGATATATGTTCTATTCAATTAGCATCATATATCACTCTCAGGGTGGGCACAACCTGGTATAAAACAGATGAAATTTCACTCCTTGGCAATTTGGAAACTCAAAGACCCACCAGTAAAGGCCACTTCATCTCCAAAATTTTCTTAATCCATCCAGAAGAGCAGTACCAATATTTTTTTTAAAAACTCAATAGAATATATTTTCTCTCCAGCCTGGCAGAGGACAAGTGGCTAGGTCTCACTTAGGGAAGTACAATAACTGTATCTATGTATTTCTTTTCATTTCAGATGTACTGGATGTGTGTGTGTATGTGTGTGTGTGTGTGTTAAGGACTACGAGAGTTTCAAAATGTTCCATATGAATTTGGTAATGACTTTTATCAAGTATTAATAATTATTACTGTTGTAGCATAATACATTAATTAATATATTATTAATATTTATATAATTATATCATAATATATAATATTACATAAAAATATTAGAACACTACTTGCCAGATAGTAAGCTTCTTATATCAGGGTCATTTATATCTCACTGTGAATAATGTTTAAACTCCCTTTAATAATCAATCCAAAAATTGTTTTAGGTGATGGCTGGATGGAACTTTGCAATTTCCTACACAATTGTGCAAACTAACTGTTCTAAGAAGAATGTTCAATTCTTAACTTCTGACTGCAAGTCTCTGTTGAATGGTGTAAGTATGCAAAAACCTAATCATTAAGTTCCTAGTATTTTGTTTACAGTATTTACAGGTGTGGAAACAAACTATCAAGTTGTATGGGAAGACTTCATCACTAAAATTTAAGATGACATTCAGCAATTCTTATTCACATTCACTACAGAACCCTAAAGTTCAAGTTATGATTCAGGTTGTATTACCTGCCTATCAAAGGATACACACATCTTGCAATAATACAGATTTACAGAGGAGAACTAGGGAATAGGAATACCCTGGGTGGTGCAAACGGTTTACATGCTCAGCACTAACCAAAGGGTTGGAGGTTTGAATCCACGAGAGATATCTTGAAAGAAAGGCCTATCCGTTTACTCCCCCCTCCCTACCCCCCCAAAAAAAGCATTAAAAATCCTATCTATGGAATACAGTTCTACTCTACACACATGAGGTCACCATGTGAAAGAGTAAAGTGGACAGGAATTGGTTGATTGGTGGAATAGCCTGTGAAATGAAAAGTTAGTAGTTTGAATGAAAATGAAAAAATAGTTAAGGTTTTGTTATATCTTCACACTTTCTTATCTCCTCTTTCTCGTGTGCTAAATAGCCTTATGGGGTTCCTTAGCTCTAACCCTAGATACGTAAGTTAATTCTGACATATAGCAACCTTATTTGATAGAACAAGGCTATAATCTTTATTGGAGTCCTAGTGTGGTACTGTAGGATAAGCACTGGACCGCAAGTTTGGCTTGACCAAAAGGTTCAAACTCACCAGCTGCTCCTCTGAAGTCCTGTACAGGGTCACTATGTTGAGAACTGACTCAATGACACTTAACAACAACAACAACAATCATTATAGTAGCAGATTGTCACATTTTTCTTCCACAGAATGGTAAGGGAGTTTGAGCGACTAACCTTTCAGTAGCAGTCTTTACTCAGGACAATTCCTCACTTCAAACTTTTTTCTTCTTACTTTCCCTACCTTTGTTTTTGTTTTGTTTTAAAAGTTATTATTGTGAATTGAGTGAAGATTTACAGAACAGAACATCAGTCCCACATTCAACATATTATACATTTTGTGTCATTACAATGATTGCAATCCACTCCTTGTACCATCAATTAGCAGAATTTTAGCTCTATTCACTATATTTTGTTTCCTTCTCTCCCACCCCCTGCTTGCCTTAAACCACCACAGAATGTTTCATTTAGCAAGAAAACCTTTTCTTAACTTTTTACAACAGTGGTTTCATGCAATATTTGTCCTTTCATGATTTACTAATTTTACTCAGCATAATGTCCTCCAGGTTCATCCATGTTATAAGGTGTTTTGCAGATTCTTTTTATTTTTCAGCATTGCATAATATTTCATTGTGTGTGTGTACCAAAGTTTGCTTAATTATTCTTCTGTTCATGGGCATTCAGGCTGTCACCGTCTTTTTGCTGTTGTGAGTAGTGCTGCAATGAACATGGGTGTGCGTACATCTATTTGTGTCACAGCTTATATTTCTTTTTCAAAACAACTTTTTTTTTTTTTTAACTTTTTATAACATTGGTCTTATACAATGTGTGTCCTTTTGTTTGACTAATTTCACTCAACATAATGTCCTCCAGGTTCAACCATGTTGTGAGGTGTTTCACAGATTCATCACTGTTCTTCAGTGTTTTGTAGTTATGGAGTCCTGGTGTGGCATTATGGGTTAATGCACTGGACTGCAAAGTTGGTTTGAACCATAAAGTCAGTGGTTCAAGTTCACAGCTGCTCCTCAGAAACCATATACAGGAACTCACTTGATAGCACTTAACAACATTGTGTGTGTGTACCAAAGTTTGTCTAACCATTCTTCTGTTAATGGGCATTTCGACTGTTTCCATCTTTTTTATGTCTCTTGTAGACAGCTTATTGAAGGATCCTGTTTTCGTATCCATTCTGCTGTCTCTTGACTGGTGCATTTAATCCATTTATAGTCAGTGTAATTATCAATTGGTATGGTTTGATTGCTGTCATTTTCTGTGTCTTTTTATTGTTGTTGTTGTAATGCTGGATTTTTTTGTTCCATATAAATTTCCTTGCTGAGTTCATTTTGTCTGGAGGGTTTCTTTTCATTTTCATTTCTGTTGTATTAATGTTTACTAAATCTTTATTTTCCTCTTCTTTTTATTTTGATATGCAGGTGTATTATTTTTCTTCAAGTTTAACCTGTAATTTATTAATGTTTTTACTGATTAAAACAGTCTGTTTCATCTTGAAATCTACTTGACTTCCTTGCCATTTGGAAGTTCTATATCTACTGTAGTCCTTCTTTTTGCTTTGAGATGATGGCTTTATTATATATTGTTATCTTTGGTTCCCTATTTTCGATTTTGTAGTTTGTTTTATTTTAAATATTTCTCTATCTGGATTGAGTTCTGTCTGGGTGGTATTGTTATGTATGGTAATCACAGATTGATATCTGATGTTGTTGGTTCTCAGTCCAAGGAATACCCATTATTTTTTTGTAAATTGGTCTTGTTATTACAAATTCCTTTAAATTCTGTTTATCAGGAAATGTCCTAATTGCACCATCATATTTGAAGGACACCTTCACTGGTTATATGATGCTTGGTTGGCAATTATTTTCTTTCAGTTTTCTGTGTCTATCATCCCAATTCCTTATTGCTTGCATGGTTTCTGCTGAGAAATCAGAGCTTAGTCTTATTGATTCTCCTTTGTAGGTAACATTTTGTTTTTCCCAGGTTGCCCTTAATTATGTTGAGGAGTTTTTCCTTCTATTCCTAATTTTGTTTAGTGTTTTTATCAGCAATGAGTATTGGATTTTCCAATACTCATTAAAATAATCCTGAAAGATGAGAAAACTGGCATACAAGAAGTTGAACAAGTTCCAAACAGGATAGATCACAAAAAAAAAATCACCAAGACAAACCATTATTAAATGTTCCAAAATCAAAGACAACAAAAGAATCCTGAGATTTTGGTTTGTTGACTGAACCAAAGTTTTGCTAAAATGATGTATCTCAAAGAGGCAGTGATTAGTGAGTATTAAGGCATGATACCTTCCAGGAATATTTGCATTTAGCACAAGAGTATACTTTAAGGGCAGATCGCTACAATGCCCTTTAACAATTCTGCTGCTAAAATTCTATTTTATGGCATGGGGAGGAGAGAAATCCACATAGCAAGATGTAATTTCAATAATGTTATTAATTAAAATAACTTACATGAGTATTTAACCACTATATTTTCATATATATTAGTGCTGTATGGGTTGAATTTATTGTCTTCTATATCCTTTGCCTTATTTCTCTTTGGGATAAAACTTACTGATTTGTAAAATGCTAGTTACATAGTTAAGATATCAATTCTTGGTTATATTTGCTGCAAATATATTTTCTAATTTTTTATATTTTAATTTGGACTATGATATTTCTGACTTATAAATTGGTTGTGCTTATAGGTGAGCAAATTTATCCATATTTTTCTTTTGAATTCTTCTACCACTTGTTCAGCAGTCATCTTATTTTTTTCCCATTTTTTCTATAGTCAATATTTTAATATAACTTTCCAATCTACCTAGAATTAATTTTGTTGTATCCTGTGTTATCAAACTGATTTTTTCAAGAAAATAATCAGATATCTCAACATTCTTCCCTGCTACATAAATTGTAACTCCACCTTTGTCTCATAATACTTCTTACAAATTCTAAAATCTGTTCCCTTTTACTACAAGTACCACCATGTTTTAGTAATAATAATTTTATAATAATTAAAAATATATGACTTATTAGTCTAGTGTTTATATCTTCTAAACAAATCTTAGAATGCTTTTACAAGGCAAACTTACACTGTCACATTGTTTGGAATTTCAAGTTTTCTTTTATATTTCTAACATTGAATGCTTTTCTTTATGTATACACATTTATCACTGAAGTTATTCCTGTTGTGCTTTTCTGTTTTGATTGTTGCTATTAGGGTTGAATTTCATTGTTTCTCTTTTTATTTTAGTGTCTTTAATGTTACTACTATTAAAATGTTTAAATCTATCATTTTTACAGCTTTACTTGATATCCAATACCTTTAGTGAACTTTCTGATCAATTCTGCCAGGTTTCTATTGATTCTATTCATTTTACGAGGCATGTAGCATGCAGGACAGGGCAGCATTTGAGTCAGAACTGACTTGATGGCACATAACAACAAAAACAACAATTCTTTTAAATGCATTTAGATTCTATTCCTAGTTTATCTAAGAATTGTACTTCTCCATTTATAAGAGTGATCTACAGTTTTCTGGATGCTATCTTCTCCAATTTTGGTACCAGATTAAAATTTTATAAAATTAGTTGGTAGCTCACCACTATTTTTCTATAATTAGAAACAAGATATGGAAATGGTGTTTCTTTAATTAAGAAAATAATTTACCTATAAAACTGCATAGGCTAATTGGAGGCAAGAAAGGGAATGAAAGTTGAGAGTAATAACATTCTCTTTTCCTACTTTAGACATATTTCCATTCATGCTTTGTTGTTGTTGTTGAGTCAATATGGTCATTTATGGTGATGGTAGTGGTGGTGGTGTGCTGTGCAGTTGGTTCCACCTCATAGTGACCCTAAACTGCACTTGTGGATCTCTAAGATTATTGAAATAAACACCTAGTTTTGTGTGTGTGGGGGGGTGTTTGTCATGTTTTATTTTTTATTTTATTTTATTGCTTGTTTTAGTTTGTATTTTGTTCTCTTTTTAAAAGTATATACCACTGAAGGCTGCTCCAGCAATAGTTTGTGAAATTCTCAATTTTGTTGTTTTGATTTTCATTGTTTCCTTTAGCCAAGGAAGACCCCAACTAATTAGGGAGATATGTTTATATTTCCAAGACACCATGGTGGCAAAATGATCAGGTGCTTGGCTGCTAACAGAAAGGTCGGCAGTTTGAACTCATTAGCTACTCT